TCGTCCTTCCGTGCGTGCCTCTGCTCACCCGTGCTTATGCTCATGCTCGCAAACGTTGACCAGGTGCTCCCACTGCATGCGGCTGCTGCTGCCTGGAGATGAAGAGCAGACGCAGTGCCTTGACGACAGGTGTGAGAGGGGGGAGGCGCAGGGTGCTGCGATGCTGTTGCTGCTTACTGTCACGCTCGTACATCCTGTGTGCTCAACCATCACTCACTGCACATGTATGTGTGTGTGGACGTGTGGTGTGGACGTGTGTTCAGATTACGCGTTGACCACGCCGGGCGTCTCGTGTACTGCCACGAGGTGAGAAAGTGCACATTTGCAATACGAGTGCGCGCGTGTACACGTGCCTGCGTGTGAACGTCTATGTATGAGTGGGTGAGCAAGGTTGCAGAGTGTGCACACACGTGTGTACATGTGTGCGCGATGTGTTTCCAGTTGATCACATCCCCTCGTCCTCCTCCCTGCTGCTTGCATCAGGTCGATCGGTCGTGGGATGTCAACGAGTTCCTGGCGGGACTGCGTATTGACGGGATGGCGCCGGCCGAGATCTACTGGAGGTGCGACCACTGGTGGTGATGATGATTGGTGGTGGTCATAGTTGTGGTGATGGTGGTGGTGTTCGTTGGATGATAACGAATTGTGGTGAGAGTGATCAAGGTCACATGGATGGCTGTCGAGCTGCAAGAGCCTGATTGTTTTGCAATCCATGTGTTAGTTGCTGATGCACAGTCTCGTCACTGCTGCAGGGTCCAAGGATACGCGTATCGCCTCTCCTGCAGTCGATGCAGCGATCGATTTGCCGCTTCAGAGGTGACACACACCCATTACGATGGTCTTTGCATGGCGGGTTGCACGACTGTGCTCAAATTCATTGTGAAGGCTTTCACACTCTCATGCACACTGTCTTCTGCACTCTTCACCACCATGACGTCATCCCACTCACTCACTCACCCACTCTCCAACCTTCCATCATCATTCCTGTGTGGCTGTGTTGTCGTTGCAGCTGAAGCACTGCCGCTACCACCCGCGCTCACCGGAGTTCAAGAACGACAGCGCACCTAGTGCTGGCGTTTACCCGTGTTGCGAACAGCAAGTTCTCAGGTGAGCTCGCTTTGCTGTAATGATGCATTGAGGTTGCTTATGGGTGGAGGGGGGTTGGCGGCTTCGCTGGTTGCACTCTTGTGTGTATGTGTGTGTGCGTATGTGTGCGTATGTGTGTGTGTGCGTATGTGTGCGTATGTGTGTGTGTGTGTGTGCACGTATCTGTCTGCTCCTTCTGCTGCAGCCCTGCCCCTCATTGTTCTCCGTATTGACATCGAACATCAGATTTGAACCGGCACAGATGTCCGACGGGTGCGCATTCAGGGAACACAGCCCACAAAGTAGGTATTGTGGATACACCACATGTGGTGCCGTGTTTGTTTGTGCCTGCAGAGGTGAACTCGTGCACACCCACACGAACACGAGGGTATGCCGTGTCTTGCATTCAACCACGCAATCTCTCACCCTCTCACCGCTCCACCCAATCACCCGGTCCTTCTCCATCTCAACAACATCTCGTCCACGTCCAGTGGAAACGGACGAGGAGAAGGAGTTTCTTGAGCTGCTGCGGAAGCATCATCCAACCGCACTCTTGGACACAACAGATCCTGCCGCCCTTCGCAGGATGTCAGTTGCTTGCGTACATGCCTGCATGCATGTGTGTGCCCATCTGCGTACATGTTAGTTTGTGACGTTTCTGAGTGTGTCTGTGGGTGCAGCTGTAACTGCCCCTTTGTTCGCAGCACGACGCTCACCTCCACTTTATCACTTCCTTGAACGCGTCAACTCAACAGCACCCATTCGGAGAGCTCGCACCCGCTCAACCCAAGCACGCCCATGCACGTATGTTCGCACACATGCACGCCGGGTGATGCCTAGTTTATGTGAGAGGTTGTGTGCGGTCATTGTTTGTGTCCCAAATGCCAAACGCGCATTGCACCCTTTCATCTCTTTCACGATGCCTTTGCTTGCACTTTTGTTCGCATGGAAACACACCAGCGTCTTCGCTACCTTCCCAGCGCATCACTGGTAATGACATGCGGGTATGCAAGGCACATGCGTGCATAAATCAGCAGCAAACTGTAATGTCTTCTTGTTCGTGGGGGGTGTACCTTGTCAGCAATCCTCACTCACAACACCACCACAAACGCGTTGTACCGCCCCCTCCATCCACCGTTATTTCAGGTTGGCGAAGATGAGGACGATGTTGATGACATCCCGGAGCCGTCCACCCCTCGTGTTGTTGTGAAGCATCGGGTGGCGCGCGGCCGAACAATGACCACTGCAGAGACCGCAGCCCTTCGCACAGAACTCCGCTCCGCTTTCCTCGCACGTGCGTACTTTGTGTGTGTGTGTGTGTGTGTGTGTTTGTTTGTTTGTGTGTGTTTGTTTGTTTGTTTGTTTGTTTGTTTGTTTGTTTGTTTGTTTGTTTGTTTGTTTGTTTGTGTGTGTTTGTTTGTTTGTTTGTGTGTGTGTGTGTGCGTGTGTGCGTGTGTGTGTGTGCGTGTGTGTGTGTGTGTGTGGCTTGGCTCTCCTGTTTGACACACGTGGAGTCCTCACGTGTCGACTGGTGCGGCGTGTCTCCACGTGCAGAAACAGCATCACAGCAGACGCAGCAGCGCAAGACGCCAGTCATGTTCTGCTCGTGGTCACCAGACCAAAACCTCAAGGCGAACCTCGACACGCAACGGTGTGTTGAGTTTGGGCGTTGTATACATTGCACATGTTGTTGTTGTTGTTGTTGTTGTTGTTGTTGTTGTTGTTGTTGTTGTTGTTGTTGTTGTTGTTGTTGTTGTTGTTGTTGTTGTTGTTGTTGTTGTTGTTGTTGTTGTTGTTGTTGTTGTTGTTGTTGTTGTTGTTGCATTCTCAACAATCACGCAGTCAGACAAACACAGACACATGCACATTCCTCTGTCGTTACGATGACGACCCGACGGCTCACGGCCCATCATCACTATCATGTGCAGGATGGAGGACACGTTGGCCATGCGGCAGATGATTGCATCGATTTCGCGCCTGGCAAACGAAACAAGTGGTGGTGGTGACGATGATGATGAGGGCGGTGATCGTGGCGATGGCGGTGGTCGAACACAGCAAAGTGGCGGGCGCACGCGACGAACATCAACAAGCAGCATTGCAGGTGCGAATGGTGGCAGCACTTCACAGCACCATCTCCATCACCATGGTGGCGTGACAGCGACACGGGGTGACCCGCCGCTCGCACGACGTGGCAGCGCGCAGTTTCGGCGACGACAACACCTGCTCACACGCACTTCCTCAACAGCAGGACAGCGTGGTCACCACGGCAGCAGCGGCAGCAGTGGTGGCAGCGACCGTGCCGTGCTTGCATATGCGTCTGACGGTCTGTTTGCGCGCGTGATGCAGAGAGGCCAACGGATCACAGCTGAGGCGGAGGCGGCGGAGAAGGCAGAGCGGGCGCGGGCACAACGGCAGCACTCCCTTCGACGACTCAGCAGAAGGCAGTCGCTCGCTCGCGTGTCGCAGAGATGATTTGGGCGAGCAAGCTGTGTGTTGTTGGGATGGGAAGCGTGCTTGCTCGTTTGTCTTGTTGTAAGATTGAGTGTGTGTGTGTACCTTGCTTCATTTAATTCATTGTTACTTTACGTTCGCACGCGCGCGTGTACACACATACGAAGGGGTGGAATAAATGCAGCAGACACGTACGCGTCGAAGTGGGCGGCTTGGAGCCGCAGCTGCAGATGTGATTGGAAAGAGGGGGGGGGGGAAGGAAGTACAATACACATGTCGCCACACGCATGCGCGCGTGCACACATGTGACCACGGGTCCAAGCATTACTGCTCCTGGTCATCGTCATGTTTTGGTGCGATGTCTTTGGAGGGAAGCTTTCCTGCGTCAAAGTCGCGCCACTCGCCACCAGGCAGCACTGAGGTGTGATGGATGGGATGGTGGTGGTGGTGGTTGGATGAAGACCTATGAATTACGGTCTGAGGGGATCGTGTGTGTGTGTGTGTGTGTGTGTGT